TGGATTACTTTCAGTAGTCGCCAGAGGCTTGATGCAGATACTGGCAGATTCCCGGCCAAACCAGGAGGGCTGGCAACCCCATAGACAAGTGATTTGCCCACTGGTGCCCCAAACTCGTTGGAGGGCCAGAAGGTGCTGCCACACTGCGTGCCCTGGCGGTGCCCCTTGCCACCCCTGCCCCGCAGCTGTGCCGGGGCTAGGCCCGCCGGGCGCCCGGCACCAGGTAGCCCTGGTCAGCCAATGTTCTTCTCATTTGCATGGCCCAGCCCCTCCAAGGAGACGTCGAGGTTGCACGAGGGAAGTAGGGATCACGCGGGGTGCCTGTGAAGTCACGCACGGGGGGAAGGGGGTAAAGCGCATGCGCAGTGTAACCGTGGGGGCAGAAGCCAACTGGGGCAGCGCTGGGGGAGGGGCGGGGATAAAAGCGGCCGCAGAGCAAGCGCGCCACAGGGGTCGCTGTCCCGCGCCATCCTTAGGGCCTTGGGACCTGGCGGGGAGGGGCCCTGACCTCCTTGTCTGACGCCTTCTCCGGGACACCCAACAGCGCGTACAAGTCCCGCTCCAACATCTCCTTATCGACCGCCATCGCCGCGGCCGCCCGCGAGCCGCGAGCCCCCTGCGCACTGGCTGTTGGGACATGTAGTCTCTGCGGCCTCGGCCTCGCCCGCGATTGGCAGGGCCCTAAGGAGGGCATCGGACTACAACTCCCGCCGGGCCACGCGCGGCCATCTCGGAAGCGCTGCGAGGCGGAACAGTGGATCCCGCCAGGCTGTGCGCGGCAGGCGCGTGCCCTGGGCAATGTAGTGCTGGGGCGTTCAACCCGCAGTGTCTGCGGGCGGTGGCCGGGGGGGAGGGGACTACAACTCCCGGCAGCCTCCGTGGGCGGTGGGAGCCCTGCTTAGCCGGCGGGTGCTGAAGTACTCTGCTGTGTGAGGCGGCTGCGGCTGGAGGCGGCTCCCTGGGGGCCTTGGTCTGCTCCGCCCTGCCCTATCCCTATCCTTATCCCGGCTTGGCTGTTGGAACGGGACTGGCGCTGCCCCAGGTGCCGTTGGGTCCAGACCTCGCGGGCTGTGATTACCTGGGGGCGGGGGTGGGGCGCGGCTGCAGCCGGGCTCCAAGGAGCACGTGTGGTTGCAGCTGCGCCGCCCGGGGGAGGGTGCTCGAGTGTTGACCGCTTCCCACCGGGGTGCGAGTAGCAGTGATAGCATTAGCGTTAGTAATACCATTATCAATAGTAAAAGACCTAATAGCAATAGTCATCACCAGAGGGAGCAAAGCCTAGTGCTGCTAATAAAGAGTAGTCACTAGCTGTAGCCCCTTGCTCACAGGCTGCAGCAGGCTAGTTAGTGGGGGGCTGGCAGTTTCCTCCTCCCTTTCTGTCTACTGAAGGAGTTTGGAGCCAGTTTGCACTGCCAGTGTTGCACAGCCTGGGCTGCTCCAGAGACCATTGCCAGTCCTGCACGGCTCTTCTGGACCAAGACGGGACCTCCCTGGGATAAAGCGTTCCTGTGGGTGCAGTTGCCCTGCCATGGAGAACAGGTGCTACGGCTGCGCATCCAAGTTCACTCTTTTCAAGAAAGAGGCAAGTCTGCCTTACACAGGGGATAAAAGGTCAGGGTGGCACCTCAGGAGCTCAGTAGCCAGGCAGGCAGCAGTGCTTGATTGGTGCTATGTGGAGCACCAGCATTCTGAGGGTCTGAGTGCAGAGTGCCAACTACACCTCTTATTTGCTGCCTTCCAGACCTAAGCTTGACCCTACTGAGTGCGTTCATTTGGAAGCATGTGTTCCCTGTGCCCTAACATGGCTCTCTGGGTGCGGGGGTGGCTTTTAGGGGCTTTCTGGTGTGTGCGTGTGCATGTGTGTGGTGGGGTTTAAATACTGATGGCACAGAAACTAATCTCTTGCCAGTTAAAGTGGTAGGGATTCCTGTAACAAAAAAGGCTTGTGGGTTGCGTCATGTGTTCTTCTGCACGAGCTTCAGAGGAGACAGAGACTCTTCTCTGTGCACTGTCCCACGAGAGAATGATATTCCCGTTTCTAGCTGTTGATCCTTTTATGTCCTGCAGGTTGAAGGCTGATAATCATTATATTGCGTATGTAGGTGCACTAGCTAGGATAAACCATTCCTACTTGGAGAAATATTTAATTAAGAAAAAAACAAACAAACCTTAGAACTCCCCGAATATCTCTGAAGTACTCGATACTAAAGCTGTATCCCTGTGGTCCCTGTTCAGAGAGATGCAGTGTACATCTAGAGGGGTTGCGGCCAGGTGCTGATGCACTTTCAGTACCCTGCCTCTCTCTCTCTCTCTCTCTCTCTCCTCAGTGTGGATGTAAGAACTGTGGGCGGGCATTTTGCTCAGGATGTCTTGGATTCAGTGCCATTGTTCCCCGGTGTGGGAGTACTCAGCAGAAGGTGTGCAAGCAGTGTCACGGGTTGCTAACTGGGTAAGATGAGAGACTTGGGCACTGTTTCTATATCTACTGTCTTTTCTTGTTTCAGTGCTCTGTGTCAAATGCAGATTTTTGGCCCACTTCCCTCTTAATACCTCCACCCTAAACTCATACTTGCATTGGTCCTATCTTGGATTCCAGTAGAGGATAGTCCTTCACTGACCTGCAGCTGCCTGGGTTGTCCATTAATTTATCCAGAAGACTACAGTTGTTGGAACCTTTGCCTTTAAGGCAAATAAACATATTCTAAAATTCCACCCTTCCTGTTTCGCTGAGTTATGATCTGTAATCTGATTACCTAAGTTTTGCATGCTGTTGGGTTGCTTTCCTTTTTAAAGGAGAAAATATGCCTGGCCTCCCAGCTTGGAGAGCCTCAGAGCCCAGACTACAACCAGCCAAACTATCCAGCATTCCACAGATAGCGACCCTTACCTCATCTGTTTAATATCTCAGAACAGAAACGGTGGAATAGGCTGGAAAGGCTATGAAGTCCCAGTGGAAAAATGTTTTTGCTTTCCTTGTTCACCAGACTAGACAAATGGTACGTTCATGTCCTGATCTTGCAAGCTGCTCTGTGTCACTGAGGGCTCCATCAAGCAAGCAGTTCTGTCCCAAACAACACCTTGCAGAATCTGAGCCTTGAAGTGTAACCTCTTTGTGGTGGAGCCCAGGCCTTCATTCTTATCTCTACAGTGCCTTGCTCAATGTAGAGCTTATCCTTATTGGGGTCTCTGGAAACAGTTGTTGTGAAGTTGATGGTAATATCTTCCATAAATATCAGGAAAGGTTGCAGTGTTAATCACCTTGAATTTAAGCATATTTGTAGTAGATAATATCCAACCATCGTCTACTACAAAGTATACTTTGTAGTAGACAATGGTTGGATATTATAATTTGTATTATATAACTATTTCTGCAATATGTAGTTACAGAAAATCCTTTAGCCCTTGCATGTTATATAATTCTGTATTTGGAGCCAGTTAAGTTGCATCTTTTCCCCTAGGCTGTTCATTGATAGTGAGCTAGGAAAGTTTAGAACCTTAACTTGTTTCCTCTTGTTTTCTGCCTTTGGAGATGGACTGCAAGATAGAGGGGGTATTTCAGATCCTTTCTATTGGGGGGGGGGGGGGG